AAAATATGAAGTCACAGCTGTGAGTTGAGGCAATCCCATAAAACTTTGAAATGAAGAAAAGAAAAAATCTTACTACCTCTTTGGAATATTTTCTTCTTTTATGTTAAGTGTTAGGAAGCTTTTTAGTTACCAACGAAAGGGTAAAGATACATAAAGAGGGAGAGAGAGATTCTCTGCACTTCAGAGATTTTCAATCTAACAGATTAAGAAGGGAGCAGATAGCTTCTTAGTAGGCAGATCTGTGTCTCCGGGAAGCTTTTTTTTTTAAAAAAAAACAAACAAAGAAACAAAAAACCCAACGCTCTGTTTAGAGAACTACGTAGAACCAGCAGGATTAAAAGGTACAATAGAGTCCAGTTATCTCTCCTGTCTCACTCCAAGTTTTCTTGGAGAGGGTCTTCGAGTAAGTGACTTCTGGGAACATTGGAAAGGATCTGAAAGAATGGTGCACCCACAACAGCTATTGTTAGGGTTTCCTTATGTGCCCTTTTACCTTCTTTAAGTCATTGGATTTTGCTTATTTTCTCTTAGGCTATGAAGCACAAAAATACAGAGACAACAATGTGATCAAAATAAGGGCTTAATGAGAGCTAAAGAGGCAAGACTAATTTCTAATCATACTCCCCCCATTATAGCCTGTTTCCAGAATTTCAAAACCAGTCCTACACCATTTACTTATATTCAAATTAACTACTAACCCAGTCTTTTTCTTTTTTAGTTGTTCTCCAGGTATCTCATGAATTGCAAAATATTCCTTAATTGACAGGGTGTTTGGACTCTTATTTGTATCTAGCCTGCCTCTCTTCTGATTATGTAGCTTTGTCTGGAAGGATTTATTTGTCCTAAAGCATATTGCATTTCTTCTCCCTGATCTGCTTCTTTCTAATATCAATGAATCTGTTCCTTCCTTTCCAAGGTCACTCTAAATTCTATTTCATATTCCCTGATGTGTTGTCAGCTCAACTTTTTGTCGTCATGAATTCTAAAGAGAGCACTTTCAAATCTAACATCTTGGTCAATGATGGCTATTAAATAGTGCTAAGCTCAGGGCTGACTGATGTTTACTACCACTTCATATGTTCTCTGTTTCTCAGATTGGTAATAAGTCATTAAGAAGCCACTGTTTCAACATTGCAAAAGAACAAACACCAGTAAAGGTAATTACGTTACTATAAATGCATATTTTTTCTCTTTTCTTAATTGATTTAAAAGGCAATTTCATAAAATAATATGAATATAAGGTATTGTTTGGCCTATAAAATATAGAAATGTAACATATGTGTAATGTCTTTGCCAACAAAATTTATGCCAACAGCATAAATGAGGCGAGTGCAAGCAAAAGTGAAATGGGCTGAGGAAATGATTACAGATGGTAAAGAATTAATTGAACAATGCAGGAGTTAGGGGCACTGATCCCCCCCAATAGAAAATAAATGTATAATTTTTGAATCCATAAAACTAAATTACTAATAGCCTTCTATTGACTAAAAGCCTCACTGATAATATAAACAGTTGATTAACACATATATTATCTGTATTATATACTGTATTTTATAATAATTAAGCTAAAGAAAAAATGCTATTAAGAAAATCAGAGAAAATACATTTACAGTACTGTACTGTATTTATTGATACCGTAAGTTTATATCATCTTTCATTACAAGATGAATCATCTGTCGGTATTATCTCATAGAATACAAAACAGTACAGATGTTATACATATTACTAATACCAAAAATAAAAAATGAAAAGATAATATGAAAAAGAAATTCATATTTGTTTACAAGTATAACAGTTCATGCATTGGTAACAAAAAAGCAGCAGTTATAGCTTTATGGTGGCCTAATGTAATTAGGCCAGTGTAATTAAGCAATAGGATTGCTTTAAGGAACACTAGCCTACACACTGATGAATTAATCATGATAAAAATTTTATGGGATACAGTATCATAGTCATATTCATAATACAGTATTGGGAACATTGTTACATTAAAAAAAACCACCTATAATGATAAGCTGATATACAGTTTCTCCAATTATGAGAGAGGCATACTGTATGGTAATCTAATTATTTGAAAACAAAGTTATAAAACAGCAAGAAAACTAACACATTATTAATTTTATATTAAATGTCACTCACTTTATGCCTTTGTAAGGACAGGGTCTCTACTTCAATACAAGTCTTGTGCACGATGTTCTACGTGATGGGTACTTAGGCTATGATGATGATGTTGACACAAAATTGTTTCCTACAGTTCTTGCCATACAGTTATTAGACTTTCACATGAAGACACTCATACACATGCACAACAAGTACGTTTATTAACTGTACAGTATGATGATTATGTACTGTTCATTAAGTTGAAGTGGGTCATCATAAAGGTCTTCATTCTCATCATCATCATTTTGAGTAGGCCAAGGAGGAGCAAGAGGAAGGGTTGGTCTTGTCTCAGGTTTGGCAGAGGTGGAGGAGGTGGAAGGGGAGGCAGGAGGCAGGCACAAACTTGGAGTAACTTTATAGAAATACATTGTGATTTCTTTCTAACATTTTGCTTTTTAATTTCTCTAAGAATGTTTCTGTATGGTACCAATCCTTCAACCACCGTTTGCTTTAGTTTCATTACCCATATCATTGAAGGGTCCCTGTCATAAAAGGCAAAAGCAGTCTTGAGTAATTGGAACCCTTCTGCCAATTGTCTAATGTCAATTTGTTTTCTGGCACTTCTTCTACATCTTCTTTATCATCTGGCACCAGTTCAGAAGCACTCAGAACCATCAAGTCATCTTCTGTTAATTCCCCAGATGTGATGTCTATTAGCCTTTGAAGTTCTCCACCATCCATGTCTTTAAATTCCTCACCCCCATCACCTTTTTTCTTTGCCATATTCACCATCTCTTTCATGATTGCCTTTGGTTGCTTATTTGGCTCTGTTGTAAATCCTGTGAAGCCATGCACAACATCTGAAGAGTTTTCTCCAGAAGAAAACTGTTATTGTTTTGGGCTTGATGGCTTTCACAGTGTTTTCTATAATGGTGGCATCTTTAATGGTATAATCCTTTCAGA